TACATGCATCCCATGTACTCAATGGAAGTTCCTTATGGTGACCACCTCCATATGTTGACCAGTTTGTTATAGTCCCTTAGGTAGGTCAACTTACAGAGGTTCTACTGTATATGATGATTAGAGATTTTGGTCAGACCAAGGGCTTAATATTAAGATAAATCATGGTATGAGCAGTAAGTAGTATGTCATAAAATCAAAGCTGTAATAATTACAGATGTTTGTAGTCATTTAAAAATTCAGTTGTGATCATGGTAGAGTATTAGATAAATTACAACTTCAAAATTTAGTGATGGTCTCATTTTAGAGTAAACAAATGAATAGATTTTGCCATCCTTAGTCAAAAAGTATTCTAAATTCAGTGATTCCCTCTTTCAACATATGTAGTGTTGATCTTTCTTAGAGTTTTATGTTAGCAGACTTTTAACTGTACTTAATTTTATGCACATTGATTGAATTCCTCTTATAAAATATAGGCTTTTCCCTTTTGCTTTCTCATTGTAAACTGACTCAGCATTTAATTTATAAAAGTTGCTTGGTAATTGAGACTGATACATGTTCTTTGTGTACTTATACTATTTTATTAAGTTGTATCTTTTATATGTGACAAAAGATAAAGTAAATACTGCAATCTCAGATGTATAAATAATGCATCTATGTTTAGATATTTTAATGTAGAAATATTGTAGATATTTAAGAGAATAATATGTTCTATATATTTAAGTAAGATGTTTCATACTTTTAGGATAAATTGATCTTACATTTTGAAAAAATATTATAAATAATATCTAGAAAGGGAAAACTAGGAAGTACATAGCTATAATTTTCTGTATCTTGAATAGTCAGTAAAATGAAATTTCAATCATCAATTTAAGAGGCTTTAGTGTTGGAAATACATAATGTGTCACTTATGGATCTCCATGAAGAAAGAATTCTCTGATGCCTTAATCTGAATCCATGGGGTTCAGAGGCTTTATATGATTAGTTATTGTCTTGTTAATAAGAGTCACAGTTTCTGCCTTATGTTCATAAAAATATTATAACTTGTTAAATTTATTCTGTGATGTACAAAGACAGAGGTAGCAAAGTGGTATGCCCTGCTTCATAATGAGATTATTATAGCTTTTAGTACTTTTGTCATTTCTGCAGTTATCAGATGACTTATTTTGTATACTATTCATGTGTTGTTTGAATGTATTTTTATTGCACTGTCTTTTCTTCGATAAATCTTTAAAATATGTCATTGCCTGTGCTGTTCGTGACTGTTCTAAGTGCTATCATCTGTGATGTTCATACTTTGTGTTTGCACGATTTAACTTGATCATGATTCATCCTTTTTCCCCCCATAAAATTTCCCCCTTCCATTGGTCTCCATATTTTCTATATCTCTCTCCTTTTCTCCCGCTCTTGTGCAGATAGCTCCTCCAAGAAGACAAAGTCTAGTTCAGAGGAGAGTAGATCCGAGATATATGGTAAGCTAATGTAGCTAATTCAGCCTTGCCCTTTGGAACTTGCTTCATGCTGTTTTCTTCTTCTTCTTCTTTTTTTTTTTTTTAAATAACTGCAGCCTTTTTTATGTCTGCTCTGCATGGCATGATCTACTGCAGGGAAAGGGAGCCTGGGGTTTTAATGTGGCTGTGATGTGGAAGCTTAAGGTTGTTAGAAACTAACATTATAGATTAAGAATAGGCCACAGTACCCATCTTCTCTTTCATCTTATTTATGTTAGGAAAGTGATTGTCTCTGATATGTTTGGGTCAGGTTCCTCCAAATCACATGGATGGGCTTTGAATTCTTGTCATCTTCTTCCCATGTCTCATTTGCAGTTTGGATTATGTAGAATTTAAGCAATTAAGTCTTTTCCTCTAAGTATAGTACTGGTATAATTTAGATGTATTAGCAGTTCTTTGGAATTTTTGTTCTATTTTTTGTTTATTTTTAATTGCCTCATCATCTGAAAAAGTCATTCTTGTATGATATATTCATGATAGCAAAAATATGTAAGTATTTTATTTCCATAGCTTGAAAAATTCGTCTATGCCTTTCAGAAGTTTCCTTGAAGCTTTTTCAGAAAGGGGAAATTTTTAAATTTTTAAAATTTTAAATTTTTAAATGGTACTTTTAAAAAATAATCTTCACAAAGAGCAAACTCAACATTAATGGTCAACAGATGATTGAAATACTAAGATTTCTAGACTGTATCTTGTCTTCCAAAGATAGAATAAACCTGTTTGTGAAGTTCTTACATATTTTGCCTTTTATGCAGTTTTACTTGCCCTCTTCCTTTCTTTTGGCTTCTAATTAGGATTTGAAAAAAATATATAGGAGCAGCACTGCCTGGAGCCAAGACTTTAAAATAATCTCTGAATAAATTACTTCTTTTTAGGAAGATTCCAAATTTGGCTTCTGTGGAAAATCAAGTTTTTTTTTTTAAATACAACCACTATGAAGTGTATGTTTTCCCAGGTGTAAGTGTTTCCTAACTTGACATATATGAGAGGGAAAAAGTATATGGAATTTCCTCTCCCACCTTTTAAGACATCTGACAAGTTACATCTTCTGGTACTCCAACCCATAATATCAGTTTTTTTTTTTTAAGAGATGGGGTCTTGCTCTGTTGTCCAGGCTGGTCTTAGACTCCGGGCCTCAAGCAGTCCTCCTGTTTTGTCTTCCCACAAATGCTAGGATTATAGGTGCAAGCCACCATGTCCAACCCTCAGATACATTTTAATATTCTGAAGTCTTGGTGTTTGGTTCTAAATCAGTTAATGTTATATGCAGTATACATGTACATAATTCTTTACTTAGGTCTTTATAACCAGTGCTTTTTGAGTGTAGTTATACTTTTTAACAGTAGTTTAATAGGTAATGTTGCTTGTGGCATTTGAAATTTGTGCTTTTTTCTTTCCTTCAAAGTATTTGACTCTTTATATATAAGAAATAGCTTCCTAATTCCTGGAGACTATTTCTGTTCTATATAAAGAGTTTTGTATAGTTTATTCTTTTCTAGATCTGTGGAATATATGGAGAAGTTTGTGTGTGCTTTGATAAAGACTAACAATATAGGAATCTATGACTAGAAATAGATGATTTTTTTTTAACCAGTGATATGAATATTAACACTAGTTCAGACAAGTTTATTGGCTTGGTGGTAATAGAAACATTTTAAGTGGTAATCAGGAAGTAAGGTGTGGCTTCTCTGTGTTTTGTTTCTTTTTTTTTTTTTTTGAGACAGAGCCTCAAGCTGTCGCCCTGGGTAGAGTGCTGTGGCATTACAGCTCACAGCAACCTCCAACTCCTGGGCTCAAGCGAGTCTCCTGCCTCCGCCTCCCAAGTAGCTGGGACCACAGGTGCCCACCACAACGCCCGGCTATTTTTTGGTTGCAGCTGTCATTGTTGTTTGGCGGGTCTGGGCTGGGGATTCGAACCCGCCACCTTAGGTGTACGTGGCTGGCGCCTTAGCTGGTTGAGCTATAGGCGCTGCACTTGAAATACCTTTTTTAGGAGGAACTGAGCCCATGAATCCTTAAAAAGTACTCATTCAGAGGGATGAGTTGACTGTGACAGCATTAGCATGCTAACAGAAATCTCTTTGACATAACAGATATTTTATTACCTATGTGAATAGGCTTCTTTAGATTGTAGCACGGGTGAAAAAGACTCTGTAAAGAGTCAAGAGAAGCTTGGAAATACTGAAATAAATGTATGACAGAGTAGAGTCATGACCACTGGTGCCATTCTGCTTTACTACAGGGTCTTATTATAAGCCCACTTTACATATTTAAGATTATACATTGTCTTCTCTTGGGGTAAAATTCATTAGCTGGGTATTTTTAGGTGTGTGGTTCTTTTTTTTTTTTTTTTTTTGAGACAAGAGTCTCACTTTTTTGCCAGAGCTAGAATTCCATGGCATCAGCCTTAGCTCACAGCAACCTCAAACTCCTGGGTTTAAGTAAGCAGTTCTCTTGCCTCAGCTTCCCAAATCGTTGGGACTGTGGGTGCCTACCACAAGACCCAGATAATTTTTCTATTTTTAGTAGAGATGGGGTTTCACTCTTCTTCAGGTTGGTCTCAAACTCCTGAGCTCAAGGGATCCTCCCACCTCAGTCTCCCAGAGTGCTAGGATTACAGGCGTGAGCCCCTGCACCCAGCCCTAATGCTGGATATTCAACATACATATTAGTTATTCACTTAGAAATTATTTATTTTAAACTTTTTTTCATTCCATTTTTAAAGTTACTTTGTAAAACAGATTTAGTTTGCTCATTTTAAAAGGAAACCAGGTGTTTGTTTTATGTGGATTTTTTTTTTTAAGTTGCCAGTCAATATTTATTCCATTACCTCCTTCCCCCAGCCCCAGACCTTTTGGAGTCTGTTGAACATGTATGAATGTGCTTTCTGATCCGCAGTTTTAATAATACTTCATTTTTTGTTTTTCTTACTAATGTAAGAGAGCACTTTTGTGGTTTACTGTGGGAAATGAGAGATTTAGCAAAAGGACCTTCCTAACTTCTATCTTAATGTCATGAAGAGATTCCCATTGATAGTATTAGGTTTAAGAAAATAAGCCAGGTCTTCTTAAAGCTGACTTAGCATTCTGGGGCTGCTATAACAACATACCATAGACTGTGTGGTTTAAGCAACAGAAATTTATTTTCTCATAAATCTGGAGGTTGGAAGTCCAAGATTATGGTGCCACTGTGGCAGAATTCTAAGGAAGGTTCTCTTGCAGGCTTGCAGATGACTGCTGTCTTGCTTTCTTTTCAAGTGGTCTTTCCTCAGTGCAGGAAGGGATAGAGAGAGAGAAAAAAAGAAAGAAAAAAGTAAGAGAAAGCTGTCTGGTGTCTTCTGTAGTCCTGTCATAAGGGTTCCACCCTCATGAACTTCTAATCATCTTTGAAAAGACCTCAGCTCCCAATACCATCACATTGAGGGTTAAGGCTTCAATATATGAATTGGGAGTGAATCATTTGTCTCCTTACCCAGGGCAGGGGGGCACACATTTAGTCCATAACAGGAACAAACTGTTAATACTTGAAATATCCTGGTTTCGATATGTCAGTATAATTTTAAGAAATTCATATCTTTTCTTAGTTTTCTCATATCTTTCAAAAAGAAAACTTTCTGAAAAAAAAAAAAAGGAAAAATTTTTGGTTTGATTCGTGCCCCCACCAAGTTGCTATTTCTGTTTTCTTTTTCAACCTTGCAAAGAACATGCTACATGAACCTTGTGTGTCCTCATAAACGATTCACTTCTTAATCTCTTGTAACCTGTCTTCTGAACTCATATTATCATAGCTGAAAGGCAAACCAAAACATCCTACTTGAAAATCTGTTAACTTTTTTTCTCAATTCTTGCCTGCCTTCTGAACCATTTGGCAATGCAGGTGTCCTTTCTTTGATTTCTCTATTGTATCAGCCTGTTTCTTTTGTCTTTGTAATTTTTGCCTGTTTCCTTGATTGCTTTTTCCCCTCTTATGCATGTAGGCATGATCCAAGTTTCTATCTCAAATCTTTCTTCCAGTCTCCAGTCTTAGATTTTTAGCTGTTTGCTGGATATTTTCATTCTGTGTGTTCCATGAACTTATAGTGATTAACTTTGTTCCTTTCAGGTAGAAATCAGTTTTTCTCTCCATTTCCCTCATTCTTTTTTTAAATTTCAGTAGATTTAGGGGTACAAGTAGTTACATTCATGGATTGTATACTGGTGAAATAGGTGCTTCTGGTGTAGCCATCATCCCAATAGTGTATGTTGTACTCAAGAGGTGGTTTTTCATCCTTTGCCCCCCTCTTCTGAGTCTCTGATGTCCATTATACCACTCTGTATGACCACTGTTTATGCTCATAGTTTAGCTCCCACTTATAAGTGAGAACATGTGGAATTTGTTTTTCCATTTCTGAGATAATTTACTTAGGATAATGGCCTCCAGTTCTATCCAAATTGCTGTAGAAGACATTATTTCATTCTTCTTTATGGGTGAATAGTATTCCATAGTGTCTGTATACCAACATTATCTACTTATCCGTTGATGGGCACTTAGGTTGATTCCATGTCTTTGAACTGGTGATTTGTACTGCAATAAACATGAGTGCACTTGTCTTTTTGATAGAATGACTTATTTTCCATTGAGTAGTGATTCCTGAATTGAATGGTAGGTCAACTTTTAGTTCTTTGAAGAATCTCCATAATTCACCAACAGTGTATGAGAGTTCTGTTTCCATATATTTGTAGTTCCAACATTTATTAATTTTTGACTTTTTAATAATGAGCATTCTGACAGGGGCAGGGTGCTATCATTGTGTTTTAATTTGAGTTTCTCTGATGATTACTGATGTTGAGCCTTTTTTTATATGTTTATTGGCCATCTGTCTGTATTCTTTTGAAAAATGTCTGTTCATGCCTATTGCCCACTTTTTCTTTTTTTTTTGGAGACAGTTTCAAGCTGTTGCCCCGAGTAGTGTGCCACGATGT